TTGAAAAGAACTATAGAAAACTACATAATCTCAGAGAAGGGATATTTTTAAGACACCAGATTTCATAAAAAAGTAAAGATTAATAAGCATGAAAATGAAGAATTTCTGTTCATCAAAAGATACTATTTTGGTGAAATGACCATCAACAAACTTAGAAAAGTTATTTGTTAACATATACAGTCAAATAAGGATTAATATTCAGAGTATACAAAGAACTAGAAAGATAAGAAAAAGAGAACCCAATAGAAAAATGAGCAAAATGATCAACAGGCAAGCCATCAAGAACACATTCAAAAAGCCAATTAACTATATGGAAAACTGCAACATCTTTAGTAACGAGGGAAAAGGAAATTGTCAAACACAATGAGATGCCATTACGTATTCACTAAATTGGCTGAGATTAAAAAGTGCGATGGTTCTGAAAATCTGTGAAGATGCAGAGAATGGGAGCCGTCACACCCTGCGAGTAGGAGTAAAACTGAATGCTAACACTTTAGGAAACAATTTGGTGTCATCTTTGAAGCTGAGCATGTACATACCCTACCCTGCCAACCAACAATCCTGCACCTGGATGTGCGTCTTAAATAAACCTGAAGACAGGTGAAAGAATTTCCATAGCAGCATTGTTTGTAATTGCAAAGGACTGTAAATGATTCAGATATCTAAGTGGGGTATTGTTGAAGAAGGGAATATTATACAGCTACGAAAATGATTCAATTACAATTACATACAGAACAAACTCAATAGTGAGTAAAAAAAAAAAAGCAAGTTAGAAAGGCAGTATATTGTTCCAGTCATTTAAAACTCAAAGCGAGCAAAACTAAACAATATACAGTCTATGAATATCATAAATGCTTTGAAACACATGGACACAGTATACAGAGTGGGGCAAATGCAGGTTTACTTCATGCTCCATGTTCTTATGGAAAATAATACAGTAATCAATAATAATACAAGAATAAACTCTTATGTTTCACATACTAACATGTGTATACCTATGTTTGGCCCACCCTGTACAAAATTTGGAATTGTGGTTACCTTTCAGGGAAGACAAAGATATCAGTACTGCTTTCGTTTTTTCAGTTGGGTGGTGGGTTTATGAATGTCTTATAATTCCACGAATAATGTAATTAGAGCAGGTCCAGGGGCTATGATGCTTGTTAGCACTTGCAGAAGAAACACAAGTTCCACAATCCCAGTTCTACCTCAGTGGTCATCTCCAGATTGGGGTTCGGGGCACAATTTTCTCCCATGAGCTGCGTATTGTCCCCCTAAACCACTGAGATAATTTTGACTCCCTTTCTGCATTAGATCACAGAACACAAAGAAAAATTATTCTAAAATTCCCCTCCATCCATTGTTTTGCATGTGGCACCGCCCAGAATCACCAGGAGCTCTGAGCATTTTCAGATACAACAGAAAAAGCCAGCAGGACGCTTTAACCAATGCCATTGATTTAAAATACGAAAAGCAACGCTAGAATGATCAAATTTCACGTGTTTAGATTTCTGGCCCAGAGGAACCGAAAGCAGAGACAAGAAGCAGAGACGGGGGAGAGGGTTCAGTGAGAGCTCCTCTGCTCTTCCCCCTGGTATTTCTTTTCCTGTTGCTTTCATCTCTATCCCTTTAGTGTTTCCTCCTCTCCCTCCCAGCACAGACTCAGCATCATCTAATCCTGAGGTTCAGACTTGGCTTCAAAGACCATGATTTCAGAGGACGAAAGCTGACAGATGCTTGATCTGTAAAAATACAACACAGCACAGAAAAAGGACCAGTCCGCAAGCTGTGTCGTCAGACCACAGCCAATCTTATACCAAAGGTGGCAGGCTTTCTAACCCTGTGACAAACATCTTCCCAAGGGGAAAGACCAAGACAGTTGCCTGGGAGCAGATCTTAGGCTGACAGACGGGTTTTCCTGATGACTGTTTGGACAGGACCTTAAATATTAGCATTTTGTATTATAATAGGACCATTAATTCCTGACTTGATTCATGTTCCATGGAAATTGAAGTTTCACCTAAGCGACTCAAATAGAATTAAGCACCTTAGATGGTGATTACACGGAACTTCCTTCTAATTTTATAACATGCCATGGTTTAGATTTGTAGTCCTGACTACTGCCATCATTCCTCAAAACCAATGGTTTCACCTTAAATGTGCGGTTCTGAAGGTAGCACAGGCTTAATCTGAGCCTTCTCCAGGAGTTTGGGGTACTCAGAAAGTGACCTGGGAGGGACTATGGAGGGCAGACTAGATAAACCCATGAACCTCTCCACATTAATTTTACTCCCCCCGCGACCAAACTTTAATACATTCATAATACTATGTTACCATCACCACCATCCATCTCTAGACCGTTCTATCTTATAAGTTTCGAACTCTATACCCATTAAAACAATAACTCCCTATTTCTCTCTCCTCCCAGTCCCTGGCGCAACCACCATTCTACTTTCTATAATTTTGACTACTCACTATTTGCCTTGTTGTGACTGGCTTCACTCACTATAATATCCTCAACGTACATCCCTGCTGTAGCATATGTTACAATTTCCTTCCTAAAAGGTTGAATAATATTCTGTGTGTATATACCACATTTTACTTATTCATTCATCTGTTGATGGACGCATGGGTTGCCTGTACACTTTAGCTATTGTGAATAATGCTGCTATGAACATGGAATTACAAGTATCTCCTTAAGACCCTGCTTTCAATTCTTTTGGGTATGTACCCAGAAGTGGAATTGCTGGATTGTGTGGCCATTCTGTTTTAAGGAACTTCCACACCATTTTCCACAGTGGTTGCACCATTTTACATTCCCACCAACAGTGCATAAGGATTCCCGTTTTCCACATCCCTGGCAACACCTGTTATTTTCTGTTTGTTTTGATAGTAACCACTTTAATGGGTGTGAAATGGTATCTCACTGGTGTTTTGACTTGCATTTCCCTAGCGAACAGAGATGTTGAGCATCTTTTCATGTGCATACTTACTGGCCCTTTGTGTATCTTCTTTGGAGAAATGTCTATTCAAGTTATTTGCCCATTTCTGAATCGGGCTGTTTTCCACCTTATTTATCAAGCACCTGCATAATGCATCCTCTGTGCCAGGCACATCAGTGTTAATCCCGAGGCAGGTGCTGATTCTTCCAGGCACACTCGCCCCAGGTCACACAGCTACAGGTACGAACCCAGGAAACTGGTTTCCCAAGCCCGCGTGTGCAATCTCTGGGCTTTGCTGTCCTATGAAGAACCCCACTCCCGTCAGTTGTCTCCGATTCCCCTGGCAAGCCCTGGACATTCAAGTCCTCTCTGCCACCTGAGTGGTTACTTGGGGCCAAAAAGAACCCTAATAGTTGAAAGCAAGGTGGCCCAGATCCAGGGCCCCTACCTGGAGGCAGCCCCTAATGCTATTAATGGAAGAAATCTGGGGTTCCCGTCTCTCAAGGGGGCCAGAAAGAGTGCTTCTAGGGCGGTAGCCGTTTCTTGCATTCAATGTATCCTCTGGAAGAAACCCCACTGGGAAAGCACCAGAAGACACAGGCATAAAACTTTAAGACGTGTGAGCGGTTATTTTGAGGATCATGTGTCTTGAGGACTCTCCGCCCAGGCAGATTTAAAAATAAGTAGGATTCCAACGTGTATGGATGGGCCAATCTCTGAGGTTATTGAGTAAAAAGTCAACACTGTAAAGTCAATTACACTATTGACAGATACTCTTACAAGGAGATTTCACATCATAATTATATGCAAGGGAACCCAGCAAATACAAGCTGTGTAATGATCAGCTAATAAAAGTAACACTTCATCTAAGTCAATAATGGTTTCAGAGTTAAGACAAACAAACATGGCCTTTGCCACTCAGTGGAGGAAAAAAAAATCCCTGAAAGACAAATATTTTCACTTAAGGAGAAGTCGCTTAGACTCACACAGAAGACCTGTCACACGAAGCAGAGGAGAAAATCGGTCTTTAGTGGGTGCTAATGACTCCCCGGCCCTCCCTCCAGCCGCAGCTGGACTGACAGGGACAGTGGCCCACAACCCGCGCAAACATGTGCGCCCCCCGGCACCCTTGGTCACCGCCACGTGGCGTGGCAGAGGACGTCTGCTGCTGTTTTACTCCCTCTTAGCTGCTTCCCTTTTAACCTCAGCCGCGTCTGGTTCTATGGAGCCATGGCCAAACTAAAAAGAAATTGAAATTATAACGAAGGTGAAAGAACAAAACAAGATCTTCTCCCTCACACTTTTTCTTTTCTTCGTTGTCTTCTCTTTTTTTTAAGAATAGTTTATTGAGTTTTTGTAGAGAAAGAAGGGGGAGAGACACACATTGATGTGAAAATGCATGGCTGCCTCCTGCACCCTCGTATTGGGGAACAAGCCCACAACACGACCATCTTCCCTGACAGGAACTGAACCAGCGATCTCCTGGTGGCACCAGGAGAGGGCGATGCTGCAACCAACTGAGCCACGTGGGCCAGGCCTCTCCCAAACACTTCTTCATGAGTTTTACCCGGACACTGATTCTGCAAATATTTACGTGTGTGTTTTTTCCCCAAAAAGCATCTCAGTGTCTATCTGCCAGGCACTGGGGACATAAAGAGGGCACAGGTATAATTAGCAAGGGTCCTTGACCTTACAGAGCTTGCAACACATCTCTGCCCAATTTCTCTTCAAACTGGGGTGGGAGGTGCGGCATTTGGATGGTGAGCTGGAAATGCATGATGGTTTTCTTTAACTGCTTATCTCCATGGCAATGATAACCTGTCCAGTTTCTGCAAATCGTGGTTGGATACTGAAACAATTCTGCTCCAAACTCCTATGAGTTCAGGAAGGGCCTCTTCGACAATGGTGCTTTGGTTGTGGGCAGGCTTTGAGCAAGCTGTGCCATTAGGAAGCTATTGTCACTCAGCCCAAAGCCACCCTTCCAGTGTTTCCTGCAAAAGGGCTAGGGCTGGGCTGTGCCAGCCACATTTCTGCTGTACCACCTGGTCCATATGAGGCTTAGACAAGAGGGGGTGCCACAGAGAGGCTGGGGAGGGGTGGAGGAAGAAGGGACATGCCCTCCCTGTGCGTTTCCTGTTCCTCCATCACCCTAACGCCTCTTCATCTCTGCAGCGGCAATTCATTCCTGTAGCGGATGCCGTGTTCAGAAAAGGTCTGTGAGGGGATCATGTTCGTGACGGGTCCTGAAGGACGTGCTGCCGTGTGTGTGGAGGCTGAGGGAAACCTACGGGGAGGACACGGCTTGAATAAGACGGGCAAATCCCAGACATATCTGGGGAACAAATATGGCTCCAGAAGACGGGGGGATGGGGATGGGTGCTGGGTGATGGGGTGGGAGACCTGGAAGGTTCTGCAGATGGCTGGTGGTGGCTGGGTGGGCGGGAGTGGGCAGGGAGGCAGCAGAGCCAGTGGGAGCAGACATCCACGCTGGCGCAGGACCCTAGTTCTGATTTGGCAAGTGACCTGATTCTTAGGAAGCAGGGAAACGATGCCCCGTTATTGATAGACCAGGTACCTCGGCACTTCTCACGCCCGCTTTGGCATTTGATGTGAGGAGCTTCATAGAGGAGGGAACTGGGGCCCAGAGAGGTCAGACATCCACCCAAAGGCAGGGCACCGGTAAGTGACAGGCCTGCGTCTACAGCCAGGATCTTGAACAAATTGCTCACCCTTCCCTCTACCCACCTTACCCTGTTTTCTAACCCACTTAATTTGATCTGTCTTCATCTCACCTGCACGGAGACCAGGATCATCTGACAGGCTGAGGAGAAGCTGGTGTTTAGACTGGGGTTGCTGGGAGTGACTTTTTAAACACCCAAACCAGTTTTATTGTCTTCACTCCTTAGAGGCTGTTTCCCTCCATCCCACCCAGTGGCCCCCGCAGGACCCACGATGCCTTTCCCACTCCCCAGGCAGGCTTTGCCCAGCCAGCGCCCCCCTTACCTCATGGCGGCCGTCATTCCGATGGGAGTGATTGGCAATGGCCGGACTCCGGGAAACAGCCCTCGGCTCAGAACCCGTGCTCCGTTCTGGATCACTCCTGGCGGAACTGCAAGAGCGACAAGAAGACACCACAGGTGAGTTCAACTGTGAAGGTTTCATTCTGAGTCAGGAGTTTTGGATGGAGAGAGAGAGAGGGAGAGAGAGAAAAAAAGCAGTTAGTCAAAAGAACAGAGAGCAAGCAGAGGCCAAGAAAAAAAGCACAGAGAGAGAGACTCACGAAGATGCCAAGAGAGTGCGCGGCAGACAGACAGAAAGACAGCACGCCTCAAGAAAAGACACTCGGTCAGCCAGGCGAGACCAACAGCTTCCGACCAAATGACTGACGCCTTGTTAAGAAAGCTGAGTTTGGGAGAGTGGGCTTCAGACATTATTTGCTTGCATTTACTAAATCTAAGCTCTCACCTCTAGCCAGGCCCTCGCAAGGTCTCAGGAACGCTGGCCACGGAACGCAGGTGCCCAACAAGAGCACCTCCTCCTGCCCTGCTCAGAGGCTGAGCACACCTTCCTATCCTCAGCCCAACAAGGGAACAGACAGAAATAACAGCAAAGCTGATTCTACAAGGTCCTTAGCACCCAGGCCCTCACAACACAGTTCACGCCCGCTGCCCGGCGCTGTCACTGGAACGCAGGGGTGACGGCCAGGCTCTGGCTTCTGCCTCCGTCGCCCGGAGCCCACTCCGAGGGCCCCACCTGGTCTTTCCCGAGGATTTCCCCAACCAAACCTCCTGGGTCCTCTTAACAGTCCACCTTCTCTGACCAACCCAGCCAACCCTGAGCCAACCTTCTTGCCCACAGCCATCGGATCCTGTCCATTTTCCATACACATTCACAGTGGCTTCCCACCACCTGATTTTGTCTGAGGGCTTACCTAACAGGGTAACCACAGGAAATCCCCGACACCTGACATTTTTTTGACCCCCAACAGCAGATTCATCTGGTTCAAGCTCATGTTCTCACTGCACCTGCCAGCACCCTTCCATGCATCTATGGTGCCAGGTGTGCTTCAGAGGTGAGGACACTGGCACACCTGGGACTTGATGTCAGCTCTTCCTGTGTGGCCTTGTGCACGCCCCAGTCTCCCTTTCCCTCTCTGAACAGTGCTCACTAGGACCCCTTCTGCTGTCAGCGTCCGTAGAGCCCCTGGAGCCCCTGGTGCAACCTCACGCCGAGGCAAGGTGAGTGAATTGTGTTTTCTCAAAAACCATCCCCCCACCCCCCAAAAAAACCCTGAAAAATTATACATTCCAAAATGGAAACCACTCTGAATATTAAGTTGTTAAAGCCGATGTCATTTGTGTAGAACAAACCCTTTTTACAAAACACGTACATACTTTTCACTTATTTAAGTTTTAGGACTCTAAGAACATGCTTACATGAATATTCTAAACCTTTAACCATGTAGGATGAATTCCACTCTTGAATATGGGGTAACGTTATAGACTGATTCCTTGGGCATTCTGGAGCTTGTGCTAGTATTTCTGTCATTTGTCTTACAGGTGTGCATAAGGCTCTTTTTCTAAAATTTGTCTTTTTTTTTTTAATTTTTAGAGGGAGAGGAAGAGAGAGAGAAAAAACATTGATGTGAGAGTAAAACATCGATCTGCTGCCTCCTGCATGCTCCCCGACCAGGAATCAAACTGGCGACCTTTTGGTACATGGGATGACGCCCAACCAGCGGAGCCACACCTGCCTGGGTGCATAAGGCTCTGGATACTAGGTTTTCCAAAAGGTGGGGCAGAAGATAAAATTAAAAGCAGTGCTGTTTCTTACCATATTTAATTGTGACAGTAGGCTTAACCAGATCAAGAACTCCTATCTGCCCCTTTCTATTAGCCAGATTTCAGATAACAGATCAACTAAAGCAGGAGATGCACCAAGTATTTTCAAAGCATGAAACCGGTTATAATGTGATACTACAGCTAATTACTATACACAGCTTAGTTGATGAGTTCTCTATAAGAAAGAGTGGCTAAAATTGATATTACTTGATTTATATGATCTGATTTCAAGACTTCCTATAAAGCTACAAGGCAGTGTGGTACTGGCCTATGATGTATAGACATTGAGAACAATGCAACAAACTAGAATCCAGAACTAGACCCACATACATGTGGTGAACTGGTGTTTTTTGTTTTTTTAAATATGATTTTATTGATTTCCGAGAGGAAGGGAGAGGAAGAGATAGATGGAAACATCAATGATGAGAGATAATCATCAACTGGCTGCTGCCTGCACACCCCACACTGGGGATTGAGCCCACAACCTGGGCATATGCCCTGACCGGGAATCGAACCATGACCTCCTGGTTCATAGGTTGACACTTAGCCTCTGAGCCAGGCTGGTCAACTAGTTTTGGACAAAAGCATCAAGACAACACCATGGGGGAAAGGAGAATTAGATCAATTGAAGAGCCTTTTGGGGAAAAAGTTAACCTTGTTCTTAACCTCTTACCATACATGAAAGTTAATTAGAAACGGACCATAAACCTAAATGTAAGAACTACATCCTACAACTTCGAGAAGAAAATATAGGGGGAAATACTGAGAGTTCTCAAGGAAAGACATGCAAAACCAGCACAACTCTGGGATTTGCAGACAGACGGAAAGGATTTTGTAATTATTTTGCTGTATGGTTCGGATATCCACGGACGCAGTCTAATTCTGATAACACTGCCTAATACCTCCGTCCCTAGGGCCCTCATCAAGAGCAGGAGTCTGATAGAACAGACCACTGGATAAATATTTAAAGCCTGCAACAGTTAGCATTCTTGACAGTAAGAATTATCCCAGTCCCATATACAGATCATAGCAATGAATACATTCCATCCTTTACAAGTACCTGGGTATGTATTAGGTGAAGGGGACAGAGCGGCACCACAGTTTAAGTGGGACGGAAAGGGAATTAGAGGCAATAGAAAATACACTAAGACATGAAAGAAGGAGACACCTAGCCCAAAGTAAGGGGTATCTGGGAAGACTTCCTGTAGGCCGAGGAACAACACATACAAGGCCCGGAAGTGATAAAAAGCACACTGTGCGCAGGAATGAAAACGTCATTTTGCTTTGCGATTGGACTGTATCCCCCAGATCCTGTGAAAACCATTACAGCATCCTGAGGAGGAGGAAGTGGTCTTACACACCATGGCCGCGCGGCAGATTCTGGTGTCGGACGACCTGGGTATGCACTCCATCTGTCATTTGCTGCCTGTGTCCCTGAAAAAGCTACTTAAGATGGGGCCAAAATTTGGTATTTATCTCACAGAGTATTTGGAGATTTAACTGAGTTAATGAAGGCACCGTTACTTAGAAAATCACACATTAGTTGTCAGTATCATTATCATCACCAACACAATCTACACCCACAGAGCAATCCTGAAGTGACCGGTGAGCTGAAAGCCCGTTAAGAACAAAATGAGCCCTGGACGATGGCTCAGTTGGTTGGAGCGTCGTCCGGTACATCAAAGGCTGTGGGTTCAATTCCTGGTCAGTGTACCTACCTGGGTTGCAGGTACCATCCTTGGCCGGGGCATGTCTGGGAGGCAATTAATCGATGTTTCTCTCTCACATGGATGTCTCTCCCTCTCAAATCAATAAAAACAGATCTTCAGAAGGGGATAAAAATACCCACCCACAACAACAACAACAACAAAAAAACAGACCCTAAAATGAAAGAGCAGCAACTGCTCTTATGTGGCTTCTGTTCCCCTGTCCACATCCTGTCACCGTGGGACAAGGCCTGGGGAGCTTGGAACCAAGAGAGACCAGATGGGAGTCACGGAGCGCGTGTTCTCTGGGACTCGGGTAGAACCACTGAATCACCTGCCAGTCAAAGGAGAGAAAAGCAGCCCCGAGAACGGTGTCCGTGCCCAGAATCCTCTGATGCCCAACAGGGAGGGAAACTGAGGAAGCGGGTCCTCCGCTCCTCGTCTCATTGCTGCCTTCATGGATGAAGGATCCTGCATCGGCAGGCGGATACTCGGGGCAGCAGGGCCGCCACCTGTCTTGCCCCACCACGAGCTCTGTGGCCTTGGGCAAGTGCCTCAACCTTTCTGAGCCTCAGTTTCCTCACCTGTAAACATGCACAAACAAGGATTAAGTACGACAAGTTACATAAATGGCTTAGCTGGGAGGCTGGCCCATCCTATAAGCGCATCGTCCCGCCATCCCACCTCACCTCTCTCGCATCCTCTTATCCATGATCTGTAAGGCACAGGGCCTGACCAGGTCAGGACAGGGGACATCCGTTTGGCCTCTCCTGCTGTTTGTAGTCACCCCTACCTCTGCATTCACCCATTAAAACACCCTCCTGTTTAATGAACCTCGGTCACTTCAAAGAGAATGTCAGGACACAGCTACCCCCCAGCATCAAAAGGCTTCCCCTCAGCTACTTCCTGAACCTCCCAAGACTCCAGGCTCCTCAGAATCCTAAGCTCGTTCTCAAATGAGCCGCAATGGATCGCTGCCTCTGCCAACTCCGGCATCGCTCAGTCCTCATCCCTGGCAGGCTCCTGGCGGCGGGATGGCGCCTGTGTTCCCATTTGCTCTCCGACTGCCAGCGACCAGCTGTGACTCGGCACTGTTCCCCATCTCTTCTCCTTTCTGTCCCCATCCCAGGTGTCAGGAACACGGCTTCGGAAGATGGATCACAAGCAGGTTAAGGTCAAGGTGTGAGAAAGGCATCCTGAAGTCTGTTTTGATTCTGGGATCCTAAAGGAGCATGAGGCCCAATCCTCGGCCCTTTCTGGAGGAGCCCATCTGGCTGTCTGCTCCTTTTACTCTGTGTTTCCCTCAAAGTCTATCAGAACATATAAAACACTTTACAGCCAGTGCACCCCGCCCAGTGACCTGGGTGACACCGAGGCTGCAGCGAGAGAAGATGAAATAAGAAACTGGACATTTAAAATCAACGGGAATGGCTAGCTCGGGTCTGTGGTTCTTACAGGAAAAGACACAGGCCACAGCACCAGCCCTTCCGCTACATCGTGCGGCGTCTGCAGGTGAGAAGACACACACACCTGAGACTCTCAACCTGCTGGAACCAGGTGCCAAGGAGATCAGCACCTGGGCTGATCCACCCCTTTCTCTTACGTTAACAGACTGATGCTAAACTTTCTTATTTCTAACCAGCAAGAAAGCAACACTCACACCCGAAAGAGAGGACATCAAGCAGCAGCATCGGCATGTGATCATCTTGATAAAAAAACGTCTGTGGCACAAGACAAATTCCCCCCACACTCCCCCACCCCCGACACTTCCTCATCCCCTTGATGCTTCCCTTCCTTGGTTTTCACAGCTTCTAAAATTAACCTGAGCTCCTGCTGCTGCCCTTGGAGGGCAGCCCTGGCAAACGCTGCGCGAGGCCACAAGCCGAGCAGCCAGGTGATCAACAGTCCTCCCTTTTCCTGAAGTCGGCGCCACCACCTGCTCACTTGGAAGGAAGGATGCTGGGAGGCGCCTGCAAGGGGAGCTGACTTCCTGGTTGTCTCTCTTCCCCGATGCCCGGTGGGTCTGGTATGTTCCCGGTTCCAGGCAGGGAGCGGAATGCACCAGCTTTGCTGTTGTATTTATTCTCTGGACTTCCTCTCTGGGAACATTCCCACCAGGGATTAGATAAGTCTTTGAAGATGAGTAATGGTGATCTGACTCCTGGCTTCAAACAGTTCCCCGAGTGGGGTTCCAGGTGACTCACAGGGCTTGTCAAGGGGACAGCCACGCCAGGGTTTAGCAGACTCTAGAACAGAGGTGGGCAAACTTCTTGACTCGAGGGCCACAATGGGCTCTTAAACTGGACCGGAGGGCCGGAACAAAAGCATGGATGGAGTGTCTGTGTGTACTAATATAAATTCAAAGTAAACATCATTACATAAAAGGGTACGGTCTTTTTTTTTTTATTAGTTTTATTCATTTCAAACGGGCCGGATCCGGTCCGAGGGCCATAGTTTGCCCACGGCTGCTCTAGAAGCTGGAATTAGTCCACGGGGCCATTTTGGGGTTCGGGTGGGGGTGGGGTTGGATGGGTCTGACTAGAAGCATAACCCAGAGTGGAGGAGATTGTGCGGCAGCAATGTTCTGCCCTGATGTCTGTGGAAGGCGAGTCCTATTGAGTGTCCTATCCAGCATGGGAGACACGGTGGCATCCTTACAGAATGTTCCACAGGCTGCAAACTGGCAACGTTTGAAAAAGACAATGTCACTGCTGGTGCTGCTGGTGGGAATGGCCCACGACGCAATGTTGGAGCCTGAGGTTCTAACGAGAGGCATGGCTGTCTCTTTGGAAGTGAAGCACCCGCTCACTGAGAGGCCGAGGGGCCCACAGGGAGTCCAGCGCAAGTGATGCCCGGTGCTCGGAGCTCCCCGGGGGCAGCGAGGGAATCCCCAAAGATCAAGGGTCTTGCTGACTGGGGCTCTCACCAGCTTCTTGAGTCATTTTCTTTCTCTGACCTACTCGGCTCAGATGCTGGACCGTGGCCAGTCTGCCACCCTGAGCTGGCTTTGCAGATGCCGAGCAAGGGCAGGATGAGAGGAAACGCTCTAAGTGGCTGCTGTCTGGTGACCCGAGGGCAGAGGCTACGAAGGGCAATGAGAAAGGGAAAGCCTTTCAGGCCGCCCAGGCCAGCCTCGCACGGCTGGGAGTGACAGCGGCAGACAGACCAGGTTGGTGGCCCCGTTCGCCCAGGAGCATCGGACAGCTAGGAGGTGAAAACAAGAGGCTATAAATAGTGGCACATGAGGAGGCTCCATAAAGGGCTGGGCCTGCAGGCAGGCAGTGTGCAGGCAGGAGCCCGCACTCCCTCACGTGGGCAGTGGCAGGACCTGAGGCTGGATGATGCACACATACACCCACATGGTCACACTCACACACACACACACACACACACACATGGCGACACACGCACACACCCACACGGCGACACACGCACACACACCATGAGGCGGGCTGCCCGCACTCCAGCAGGCTGGCCGGTGGCTGCTGCCTCGGACCCGTTCTGCCAAGGAATCCCTTCTCGCTTTTTCTAGGCCGTGGGCACAGCTGGCTGGGCAGGGACGGAGGAGTCATCACGTTGTGTCTCCAACGCTTCTCCCTCTGGGAGGCAGGGTGCCCTACCACATCCCAGGTAAGAAACATTATGCAACGTAACATGAACATAAAGGGAGGCAAAGGAAGAGTGAGGCGGAGAAGAGCTACCTGAGCAGATGTTGGGACACGGACACCTGTGACTGTGGGTACAGGAGGCGCAGGAGCAGCCAGCCTGGCTCCCCAGTGCACGGAGCAGACACTCAAGGCTCCAATCTCTGGGGCTTCACAGCCCACTCCCACTGCTCTACCCTGACCTCCAGGGGACGCTATGGGGCTTGGGGCCAGAGGGGAAGGTGAGTACACAGCTGGTGGCCCCACTCTCTGCCTTTACATTATTCCTCTGCTGCTCCTTCTACAGCTCCTGTGGGCATCATGGCTCCTCCTTCCGGGACGTGGAGCCCCCGTGTGGTGTGAGGCCTTCATGACGGTGTGCTGGGCGTCTCACAGTGTTACCACGCAGGAAGACCTTCTGAAAATGAGCTGACAGCCTCAACACATGGACGCCGAGCTTTGAAAACTCAAATGCAGCATTTCAAGGTAAACGAGGCTATGGACACCTTGAAAAAAACATAACTATTTACAGTTTGAGTGTTGTGGTGAAAGAGGGGGCCAAGTTCATTTAGTCATGAAAACATTAAAAGCCATTCACTTGTCAACTAATAAAAAAAGAACCGTTTTCCTGCTCTTCCTGTGGTCAGGAACCCGACGATGGGACCTGAGGGAAGCTTCCGAGGACCTGCCAATGGCTGATCCCACGCCCTTTCCCTGTTAACTTCATTCCTCCAGTTCGTCAAACGTATTTGCTTAAAACCAATGACCGGTGGCCGGATGCTAAGGAAGATGCCGGAATCTCACAGCTCCGAGGAAGTCAGTATGTGTCCCCCACGATGAGTTATGTGACTTGATTTTAGAAACCATTTCAGGCTGTAACTTGGTTACAACGTGGTCTGTGCTCTTTCTGCAACGTCATCTGAGAAAGGCGGTGTTTTGTGTTAATATTCTCCTGTAACTTCACACATCGTTGAAAAACCACACGACAGGTCAACTGCCAGGGACACATTCCCTGGGCAGCGTGTCTGCTGCTCGGAGGAGTGGGCAGCCTGGCGTTTCCATCGCTAACGATCCGAGCTGAGCCAAGCGAGACTGAGAATTCTGTGCCTTTAGCAGCTGGGAAGGGCAGCCCCGGATGGAGGGACAAGTCCCTCCTGAGAAAGCTGGGCTATGTATGTTGGATCCTTTTTAAAAACAGGAGCAAGTGAGAAAGGATGGAATCCAACTTCCTCAGGCTGGTGGCCGGCTGTGAACAGTGCAGGGCTGGGGAGGATGGCCGGGAACCCCACATCGGCGCCTGCTGGAGTCCGAGGCTGGAGGCTTTTCTGTGGGAAGCATCACTGACTCCCAAAGTGGGGGAGTCCCTTGGCTCAGGAGGCCACACAATCCTTCGAGAGCCAGAGCCCCAACAGAGGTGAGGGCCCGGCCATAAGAACGAGCCGGGTGGGCGCCAGCTCCTGGTGTCCTGGCCGAGTCTACGCCTCACGCTGTCATCTCCACGCCTGCGCCTCTCAACAGGAGGCTGCAGCGCAGCAACGTCCTGCCGACGAGCTGAGCAGACCCTGGCGGACGAGCTGGCTGTCCGCTCAGCAGGTTTCTGGCTGGGGGTGGAACGTGGGCAGAGGAACTCATCTCAAGCCAGAAGGAAGAGGGGGCAGACATCTCCATGCAAAGCCCTTTTCCATCCCTTGGTAAGAAGATCTTCCTAAAACCATGGCAGTCTAGCTCCAGACGTAGGGGGGGGGGCACACAAGGGGGGGGGTAGAAAAGAAGCTCAAAGGAGGAGGAGAGTTGTCGCAAGCCTAATATTGCTCAACGGCCAACAGAAGGTGAGGACAGGAGCTCCGCTGGGCTAACCAGCCCTGCCCTCCTGCCCCTGGCAGCCAGGAAGGCTGGTGCGGATGACCCTGGGGCGCCATGGGGGTCCATTTCAAGGCTCGTCCAAGCTCCTGCCTGTCACCCACCTCAGCCAGACGACCCTCTCCTCTCTCTCCATCTATACGATGGTAGCCTGCTATTAATGAGATCCCAAAGGGAAGGAGTTTCTAAAAATGGGCACCGCTCAACGGCAGGACTGCTAAGCTGGCCCCACGTAGCGTCTCCAGCAGAAACCACACGCTCGCAGGGGCGGTCCCTGCAGGCGCAGAGAAGGCCTCTCCGCTGGGACCCATTACAGGGCTGCTTCCCTCCCCCCAAGCCCGAAGCTCTGAAATTAGACGAGAACTTTGCCATCGTGGAGACACACCTAAGCCTCCATTCACACAGATGCACGGCCGCGTGTTCGTATGCACATGTGTGTCATCACACACGAAGGTCGTCTTAAAGTGATTCTGCAGGGAGGTTCTACTTGAGCATTAGTTCTCCCTACGGCCTGGTGTGTACATGAGAAGGTTAAGTTCACAAACTATGTGCTGAAGGCTATAGAAATAGCTACTCACAACCTGCTTGTATCTCAGGGGGAGTATTCAAAAGCATCATGGCACTGGCAGCATCAATGTCAGGATCTGGAAAAGTCAACCAATAAATAACATTATTTACAACGGGGCCGGTGTGTGTGGGCGTGGTTTTTCCCCCTGCACGTTAGTTTATGAATGCAATAGAGAAAAAAAAAAGCCCCGAAACTTGATGAGCTAGATCCCCAAGGTGACTTTCTTCCCACTCGGATGTGAGAGGGAGAAAGGTATTCTAGAAAGAGATGGAAGGGGCAGGTACTTATGTTTTTAAAACAGAGCATGGTCTCTCTTCTCATTTTGCTAGTTTCATGATCTGCACTGTAAGTTCCTGGTAACGGGGCCGATCCACACACCCTGACAGCTCGTTCCCTGGGTGCAGGCGCAGGAGCCTGGGGTGACAATAGGAAGTTGGGCCACAGGCATCTCGAATGAACTGGGGAAGCTCACAGCACCAGGAAGAGAAAGCATTACATACACCTGCATCTAGTGCGGTACACACAAGACGGCTGGTCATTTCCATTTGTCAGCAGAACCTAAGTTGCATTTTATGAGATTGTGTGTGTGTGTGTGTGTGTGTGTGTACAGCAGTGAAGGCATTAAAAACACACATGCTTAAAACATATATAAAAAAATCAAAGTTATGATGTTGAGAGCACAATGTTTGCTCCCGCATCTATGATTGCTTTTAATATGGGACCAAAATAAAAAATCCGCATCACTTCATTGCTGTAATTCTTAATAGGTTTCTGAATCCTCACTGATCCACCGGTCGACAGATGGCAGGTTATACAGAGACAGAGAAAAATATTATCCTTTTATAACTAAATTCATTTTCCTCTGAGAAACAGCAGCGCGGCTGCTATGGAAATGAAAGTCACCATGGCAACAGTAAACAACCCCCAAGAATGGTCACTGAATAGGCTGAAAAGAACATCTGCCCTAGCCCAGCGTCCCAGCTGCCCTGGGGCGAGATTCGCTAATAAGTGCGGTGGCACCGAGTGACAGAAGCCGCCGCCGCCTGTGACCTGCCCAAGTAAATGAAGTGTGCAACTGAAGATGACATCAGAATGCCTGTCCTTGCAGATCGCTACCTCTGATTCCGCGAAACCCAATGATGAACGGTGGAGGGAGAGTGGGGATCGCACCTGTCAGTTTTTGTACAAATTACACACCAAAAAATTCAATTTACTACTAATGGCTCCACGGCACTTTATTTGGGGTATTATGCTAGAAAATGACTTTTTTACTGTTTAAAAAGTACATTTTTCATATTTTATAGGGGCCGTTTAATTCCAAGGGAGCAATGGGAAGCAGTAGAAAGCCCCACAAGTGATTAATAACATAGATGATGCTGGTTCCAGAAGACAATGTCTCAAAAGGAAGAAAAACTACAGGAGCGTTTACTCTGCAAGCCTTTTCTATTTTGCCTGCAGGAGACCCGTTACTTAAACTCCATAACGGAGTAAAAGTTTATTTTAATAGATACATTGCATGAGAAACAGATAAATTAACTTGTTTAGCAATTCCTGGGGCGAAATTCTTAAAACAGTCATGGCTCCCACTGATATTGAAATATACGTATGTCAGTTGAAGGATGAACTGAAAAACTTAACAGTTCCACTCACGGCTCCCAGGGTTCCCGCTGCCCCGCCCTCTCGATTTCCCACAGGGCCTGTTGCCAAGATGCAGAATTTGCAGTTTCAGGGTATTGCTGGCACCTCGCAAACCTCAGGGGAGCAAGCAGCTCCCAGGAGATGCCGTGGGGGCTGACGCTTCCCCTTCCTACCCCCTCTTTTTGGAAAGGGCCCTTCGTTATCTCAGGGCTGAGAAAACACACCTGTTTGTTTTCAGCCAGGGAGGCTCTTTGCCATCTTTGAGAATGCACGTGCCGCCGCAACCCATGGCTGGCCTGGCCCCGTGTCCCCGTCTCCCCAGGTGACTCTTACCCGGAGTTTTCCTGAACCACCAGGAGGTTCAGAGGGGGCAGAACAAGAGAAAACACAGCTAAGGAGTCAGGATTTATATTCTTCCACCGTCACAGTGGACCTCAGGAGGGAGGTGTAAAAGGCATAATGAAATAAATGAGAAAGAAGGAAGAGAAAGAGGCCTTAAACAAAAACAGTATGATGCACACACCCATGAATTTCGCAGAACCTAAGGGACAACTTGAGGAGTACTGTAGACCCACGTAACGTCTACCCACGACCCCACCCAAGCCAAATGAGCACACAAACTAAGCAAAAACGACGCTTTAGGACAAGTCCCCCCATCCTTCCTTCCATCCAGATTTGCCACACCCTTGGCCGCCACAGATAAAACCCCCGATGCTACCTCAGCACTCCTGCTGGTCTGCAGGCATTTGGGAGTAGGCCCATCACCCAGTCTTCTCAGGAGCTCATTCATAATCCATTTCCACAGCCCCACTTCTCCATCCTGAGTGGGTCAATTCCAGGGGGGACATAAAGCTTTAATATGAGATGCGACGCACAGAATGGAATGGCAGGCAAGGCACGGGATGCCCAGCCCCCCAACACGGATTGGCAAACATGAGAACTGCACGTGGTCTGAGAAAACATGCTTATGTATTTACACAAGTGTGTGTACACTGGCACCACAGTGGCAGCAGTGATGCCAGCCTTGGTGTATAGCTTACTGAGTTCTGACCAATTTCACTCCAGTGTTGGCACGACCATAATGAAGACACAGAGCATAGCGAAGAGACAGATTTCCATCACCCCAAAGTTCCCTGAGCCCCTCTGCAGTCATCTCTACCCTTGCCCTGGGCAACTGCTAGATTGGTGGTGTTATTCATCCATGATGTGCTATCAGGGGTTCATTCCTTATCACTGCTATTACTGAGTGGTATTCCATTGTGTGGCTATGCTCCAATTTGTTTATCTGTCCACCTGCAGGTGGACATTTGTACTGCTTCCAGTTTGGGATTAAAAAAAAAAAAGCTGCTATGAACTTTTGTACCAATCGTTTATGAACACATGTTTTCATTTCCCTTGCGTAATTGCTGGTAAGTCAATGTTTAACTTTCTAGGGCAGTGATTTTCATCCTGAGGGCCACAGAATTTTTAAAACATGCAATACCGGACTATTTAGGCAGGGGCACTGACCTCTTTTCCCTTAGATTGTCAAATAAAAAAAATGACAACAGCCAACACAACAAAAGCTGTCCGGTGTGAATGCCCTGTCTTGAACCGTAAATATATAGGTCACATAACAGAGTAGCATCTTATTGGGCACGTCGCATAATAAAGTTGCATCTGATGGTTTAATTCTTGGAACCAGAAGTCCTTATATACAAGTACTAGAGGCCCGGTGCATGAAATTTAGGCATGGGTAGGGGGTCCCTAGGCCTGGGTGGAGATCGGGTGGTGCCGTCCGCTCCTGAACCCCCGTTTGGTCAATTTGCATATTAGGCTTTTATTATATAGGACAGGTACCTGATTTTTAAAAAAGTCACTTTGGAGCAAAAAGAGTAGGTAATTATCATCTTTTTAAAAGTAAATCAATCAAAGTTATACCTAATTTTGTCTAATTGGCAAAAAATATATTTTTTGAGTGTGATGCATAATTTTAGTAGTTTTTGTGGGCCCTGGGATGAAAAAGGTTGAAAATCACTGTTCTAGGGACGGACAGACTCTTTTTCCTAAGAGGCACCATGTGTGAGAGTTCCAAATGCTCCACATTTTTGTCATCAGATGAAATTGCCAATATTTCTAATTTTAGCCCTTCTCGTAGATGTGTAGTGGTATTTCATTGTGGTTTTAACTCATATCTCCCTAATGACAAAAAGGGGTTCTCATGTATTTAGTGGTCATTTGTGTATCTTCTTTTGAGAAAGGCCTGCTCAAGTTTGTGCCCATTCTTTAAACTGAACTGTTCAACATCTTACTATTAGAAGACCTCTTTGAACCTTCCAGATAGAAGTCCTGTGTGAGGTAGTTTTTCTCAGTCCATGTCTTGTGTACTCAGTTTCTTATTAGTGCCTTTTAACAAGCAGAAGTTTTAAATTACTATGAAGTCCAATTTGTCAATTTTTTATGTGTCCCAACGAAGAAATCTTGGCTTACTCCCCAGTTGCAGTATCTTTTATTCTCTGTTAGGAGGTCAAACATAATGTCATCTGGGTTCAACACCCAGATTTACAGGCAAATGAAACAGGAAGTAACCCACCAGATTCCTGCCTTTACCCAGTGAAAACTGGCTCAGCACAGAACTGTCAGAACTGTGCAGACCAACACCAGAGGATCCCTTCTGGCGGCAGGTACGGTGGGGGACACCAGGCAACCCCAGAGAAGCTAGTCAGGCCCGTTTCTACGGGGAAAAAAGTCTCAGACCACCTGACGCGTTTATGCTGGTCACACCCTCACATCCTGTGTGCGTGCTTCAGGCCAACAACCTCCCGTCTCTCCTCTCCAGAGAGAGGCTACAAGGCTTAGTCTTATCTATTATTAAAATGCCTTAAGTTTTTTCCCTTCTTAAAAAGAGTCCTGAAAGCAGTGTGTGCTCACTGTAAAACACACACACCAGGTGGAATTAACTGAAAAATAAACGCCTCACTCACAGACCCACTCCCAGATTCATTCTCTTTATGTATGTCCAGAAACTGTCTATATAAAAAGAGGCATTTACATATATCCATTGAAATACCAACTCACATATTCACATGCATGCTTGTGTCCATTCCTTAAAAGTGGATTCATGGGGAAAATACTTTTCTAAAAAGAACTTTTTCCTCCTATTTTTCATGAACCACATATCTTGCACCTTTTCATATTAGCATACATCATCTGAAGTTCTCCCGTGGTGACATTTTGTGCATGGAAACATAACGACCATTCTCTTTCTTTAAGACGGCAGACTACGGGAAGGTGGAAACAGCGCGTGTAACCTGTAACCTGCTTCTCCTCTCAGATCTCAAGCCCCTACCCACCTCCCCTACCTCCAAGGACCCAACAGGACCCATGCTCTCCCTCCGCACCCTTTCTGAGGTCACTCCCGCTGGCTGCCTTGGGTCACATGCTATTTTCCAGGCGCAC